GATAATCAAAAGAGTATAATAACGCTTATTTCCTCAAGAATTGCTTGCCTTTAAACTCGATCGAATCAAATCCAATTTACATTCTCATTATTAGTCACACTTTTATCGAGAAAAAAATCTGTACCATCGCTCTGCAAAGAAGTCATCGGAAGGAGTAGGATTGCATTTTATATCCACATTATATATATATATCCGCATTATATATTCACAACATTAAGAACACTATTATGAAGACATAGAGTTATAAGAACCATTATATTTTACAATCATTTTTTATATACAATTATTTTTTTTACAATGTTTTATTAACTCTTGCTGTAGTAGGTATAATCACCGATTTACTAGCCAATATTGGTAATAAACCTCATTCATTATTTTAATTAAATCTTTATAAAGAAAACTAATCCATTTATTAATTGATTAAATAGATATATCAGTCCTCTCTTAGTTAAAAAAAAAAATACGTTGTGTGCATAAGGACCACAGGATAGAAGTGAATACATCAGGGCGGAATTAAGATTTTGAAATATAAATATGTTTTTTTTATATATTCATAACATTTAAAGAATTAATAACATTTACAATACATAAAATTATAATTCACTTTTGTAAACTTTTCTCTGACTAATCCTTTATATCACACTCTAAAAATTAAACAAATAGATCTATGATAACTAAAATATATGATGATCATATATTCTTAATATTTTAGTATGATTGGCTATATTTTATTTTTTTTAACTTCATTTTTAAACCCACATCTGTTGGGAACACCAACAACCAACAAGACTTTGGTAGGCCTGTAGAGAAAGGAGTGCCCCGCGGCATTCCTTCCTAATTTAATTTTATGTTTATAGTTAGTGGGAAAAAATCCCTCCTCCAGCTTCTTTTGAGCCTTCTAAGAGTGCCATCATATTTCATATATAATATATAAGGGGTGTTATATTTAATATGACAATATTTATTCTGAAATTTGTTTTTATTTGGTTTTCACACGATTATTTAACGTTTTGCCTCTCTAAAACGGCGTTGCATCAAGATACAATTTCAATTCATATCATAATTTCATACTTATTACAAAGAGGATGAAATTATGAGCATTTCTATTGCTTACAGTATGCAGGTCCGATTTTTTTTTCAAAGATATTTTAATCCAAATTCCACAATTATTCGACTCAAGCCGACTTTACCCATGAGCGTTACATATTCGAGCCTGACGGCTCAGTTTCATTCAATAACCACAAAAAAAAAAAAAAATACCCCAAATGGGTCTAAATAAGTTTTCGTAAAAAAAAAAAAATAAAATAAGTGATTTCGTGAATAAAAGTTAGGCAAAATAGTTACTAATACTAGATAATTTAAGTTACTATATAATATATTTAATATGTAATATGTAACGTATGTAAAGAATTGGTAGAATAAATATACTTTTGCTAGTTATTTTAACTATTAATTAATTTTTATTTTAGTACTATACCAGACTTTGGTTTATTATTTTCAATAATGAACCATTGTGATCGACCGAAAAATTGAAAAACTTAACCCCCTCTCAAAATGTGAGGTTATACGGTATTACTACTCGCCTTTTACTTTCAAAATGTTCGCCAAAAAACCTGCGCCACATAAACGAATGTACCGATTTCAATGAAACTTCGCTAAAGTCATTTTCTCGACGCCTTTTAAATTTATCTATATAACATACTTCAACGAAAAGAGGCTGAGAAAAAAGTTACGAGGGTTGGTAAAATTAAATTCCGAATAATACAAAAAGTATATACACTTTTTCGTCGATATTGTGATTAGATGTTTCAAAGGTATTTAAATTTCCTAAAAAATTAAGCAAGTTTCATCGAAATCAAAGCACTATTAGTTGTAGAGATTTCGCGATTTTAAAATATTTTTCGTTTATGATCAACCATATTCCGTCATTGTGATCGACCATAAAATTTAAAACAAATTCAGCCCCTCTCAAAATTTGAGATTTTACGTTTCGGGATACATAGAATTCGAAAAACGAATAAAAAATTTTTTGTCCGTCCGCCGTCCCCGCATTTTCTCTGAAACTACTGGATCGATTTTTTTTATTTGTTATTTCAACATCAAGAGTTCAATAAGTTTTAGTCTCTATCGTCCTCTTAAAAAACCTGTGTTATTACCAGTCACAATCTAACAGATACAATAAAAAACGATTTCTTTAATTTTCGTTTAAACTGTTCAATTTTTTTTTTAAGTAAAAGATTGCTAGGACATCTGGAAGAGAACCTCAGACAATGACTAAAACGGATTTTGAAGCAGAGGATCGTTGACTTAGACATTAAGGAGAAGAAGTTTATTGTACAAGGCTACCGCAAAAGAACTTAAAAGGCTCCATTGTCTCCTCCAATGCGAAGGGTTTCTTCAAGACTTTAGTGTTGAAGAAACTCTCATCGTATCAACGGACCACATACCATATTTAAAATTCCTAATAATTGAATTGTATTTCTTGATATATAATCGCTAGTTACTTTTGGTGGATGGTCGATCAAGGGTAGTTAAGACTATTTGATATTTCCTCAATCGTCTGACACTAATCATTTAGTTGTCATTTTGGACTTGTCCATGCCGGCTTTAACAAAGGTCAAGGGAGAGCTTTACAATGCTCGGCGGTCGTACCAGGATTGAAGTTACGACAAGACTCGTGTTACACTTCAAGACGAGTACATGTCTAAAGGCTGGGTATACCGAAACGAGGCATTTCGTATATTTCGTTATGGATATTATTTGTGACAAAGTAAGGTGCATTGAGTGTTTTGGATGGTAAAGATTGGATACGAGAGAAATTCGATGGTTCGGTATAGCCTTATAGCTCGATTTCATAAGTACTATATATATATATATATATATATATATATATATATATATATATATATATATATATATATATATATATATTTGTTGTAATAATTTAGTGTAATAATATTTAGTTTTATTAATTTAGTTGTAAGCTCTAGAGGATAAGGTCAACTCAAGCCTGAGGTGAGCCCCATCACCTTTATGTTACAGACGAAGAACAAAATACTCAGAAACGACAAAAAAAAAAAAAAAAAAAAAAAAAATCATAAAAGACACCTTACAATGCTTTTAAGCAGTAAAAGGACTATTATGAAGACAATGAAAATATAAGGATTTGAGACAAAAATAAATAAAAAAGGTCTATGAAAAAAAAAAAAAAAAAAAAAAAAAAAAAAAATATATATATATATATATATATATATATATATATATATATATGGATTGTAAAGATTGGATACGAGAGAAATTCGATGGTTCGGTATAGCCGTATAGCTTTATATATATATATATATATATATATAGAATTTCTCTTGTATCCAATCTTTACAATCCATATATATATATATATTTTTTTTTTTTTTTTTTTTTTTCATAGACCTTTTTTATTTATTTTTGTCTCAAATCCTTATATTTTCATTGTCTTCATAATATATATATTTTTTTTTTTTTTCATAGACCTTTTTTATTTATTTTTGTCTCAAATCCTTATATTTTCAATGTCTTCATAATAGTCCTTTTACTGCTTAAAAGCATTGTAAGGTGTAGGTTAAAAGCCTGAGGTGAGCCCCATCACCTTTATGTTACAGACGAAGAACAAAATACTCAGAAACGACAAAAAAGAAAAAAATAATCATAAAATACACCTTACAATGCTTTTAAGCAGTAAAAGGACTATTATGAAGACATTGAAAATATAAGGATTTGAGACAAAAATAAATAAAAAAGGTCTATGAAAAAAAAAAAAAATATATATATTATGAAGACAATGAAAATATAAGGATTTGAGACAAAAATAAATAAAAAAGGTCTATGAAAAAAAAAAAAAAAAAAAAAAAAAAATATATATATATATATATATATATATATATATATATATATATATATATATATATATATATATATGGATTGTAAAGATTGGATACAAGAAAAATTCTATATATATATATATATATAAAGCTATACGGCTATACCGAACCATCGAATTTCTCTCGTATCCAATCTTTACAATCCATATATATATATATATATATATATATATATATATATATATATATATATTTTTTTTTTTTTTTTTTTTTTTTTTTCATAGACCTTTTTTATTTATTTTTGTCTCAAATCCTTATATTTTCAATGTCTTCATAATAGTCCTTTTACTGCTTAAAAGCATTGTAAGGTGTATTTTATGATTATTTTTTTCTTTTTTGTCGTTTCTGAGTATTTTGTTCTTCGTCTGTAACATAAAGGTGATGGGGCTCACCTCAGGCTTGAGTTGACCTTATCCTCTAGAGCTTACAACTAAATTAATATTATATATATATATATATATATATATATATATATATATATATATATATATATATATATATATATATATATATATACATATATATATATATATATATATATATATATATATATATATATATATATATATATATATATATAATATTATATTCATATATATATATATATATATAAGCCTTTTTTAATTAATTGAAAGCTTAGGATGTTTGTCTAGTAATCAGAATCGTCGAGAGGTTTCTTCTCGTTTCCTTGAAAAATAAGAGGAAATATAGTCTACATTCAATGTTCATATTTTTCCTTCAACAACAGGAAATTGTTTACTGTATAAAAGAAAATCTCTTTTTTTTCAAGGAAAAACGTGTAAATAATAATTAGAATATTTTCTGTGGATACTTGTTTTGACCTTTTATATGTGTTCTAATTCAAAATAATTCCTCCTTGTCGTGAGTTATAACTCTAATTCTACACATCTACTAAAACACTCGAGTTTGTCTCTTAAAAACTAAACTCTTAAAAGATTTATTTTTCTTAACTCTCTGAACCGCATCATTTGGGCTTAGCCCAGTAAAGCGATTAGAATGAGCTTTGTTTAATGTAGAGAACAACATATTGATAAGGACGTCATAGAATACAGAGGACAGAAAAATGGTACAAACAGATACTTTATTAATATAACTATAAAATATTTACATAATATTTACATAACATTATTAACGGAAACACCATTAACCATTCAAAGAAACACCAACAAACAATATTCATAGATGTAGTACATTTTAAAAACATAACAAGAAATTGGAATTATTTCAATAAGTTATAGATATATACAAATGAGTATGTAAAAATTAATTTAAAGAATTATGATATAATATATTTGTACAAAATTAATCAATATACATTTATATATAATAATCATTAGATATTTGATGTTATCAATGTTTAATAGTAAAGAACTAGTGATTATAAATCAAGTAGCGTTCTTTTCAAAATATTGAAAACTGAATTCATTTTTAATTAACGAAATTACGATTTTCAAAATACGAATGTAATCTAAAGATATCGTTGTTAGCATTATCATAACGCTATTTGGCGCAAAGTCTCTCGGTTTTTCTTATTAATAGAAATATTTGTTCAAAGAAAAAGTTTGATTTTGTAGTTTTCTGATTATTCTTTCCAAAATCCCGTTTTATTTTTCTATTTAAAGAGTGGTACATCAGTATTTGTTATCATTTAAATAATTTACATTTGTTTAAACCTCAAAATATCATTATCACAATAGTTTAAAATACATCATCAATCTAATTGAAGTCCTATTATTTTTCTAAACAGAACCACATTTTCATGTTCTTCATAAGAGTGAACTATTTATTTATTTTATTTTTTTAATATAATAAGATGCTTAATAGTTTCGATTTATATTTTCTGATCGCTATGGAAAAAAATACATTTCCTACTGTTTCTACAGGAGTCACTGTAGCCAAAACGAGAATTAGAACTAAACAAATTAAAATAGAAAATTTTAATAAAATAATATTTCGGAAAAAATTCATAATAAGTGTAGTTAAATGAAATTTTAAAAAAAATGACACTTCTTATCAGCTCAATATCTTGCCTTTATGGAAACTGGCAGGAGACAAAATCTATTCGTACATTTTTTATTATATTTACTTTTTAGTACAATATTTTAAAACTTCTATCAATCCTAAGTTTCCTAATAATTAAAAAAAAAAAAAAAGAAGAAATAACGCTTCTTTGAATGATAATATGTCATATTATCGTAACTAAAATCGCCATTGCTAAAAAAGGTGTAGTAATTTTCCTTTCAAAAATTAGTAATTTGGTTGATTTAATTCATGAAAATATTGGATACAATCAGTATTAAACTGGACTGATTACTATCAGGATTTATATGGATCCTGTTTATATGAAAAATTTAATATAAAAAATTGAGAGTATTTATTTTAATTCAGCAAACCATTCACAGTAAAGAAACATAAAATGTTTGTTGTTTTAAAAAAAAAGTTTTTGATGACTAATTTTTTAAATAAATTTTACTACTCAAAATGGTCTGTAATCATAGAGTATTTGTACATGAATATGATTGGTTTAGCGATAAAGTGTTTGAATTCGGACAACTTCAGGAGTAATATTTAGTTGGGGAAAATCAGTAAAGAAAAATAAGAAGAATGAGGTTTGTATTGGCTGAAAACTTAAAACATGGATATGAAAGTAAGTAAGTAGTAACCTTCTAGATGTAATCACTAATTGAACTGAAACGAGATATAGAAAGACTTATTGAATCAGTTTGATATAAACAATTATAATATAGTTATTATAAAAATAGTTAATACAGGTAGAAAAAACCGACATAATTTATTATTTACAACCTATTATTTTAATACAACTCTTATCAGTTTTGGCATCATGGTTCAAGTCCTAGGGGGGTTAGAACCGTGGCAGGGTAAAACGCACCGATTCTTCACCTTCATCTTTCTTCTGGACTTCTGGATGAAGCCCCAGCGCCGATTCGAGAGGCTACAGAGCCCAGAAGTTGGCTGATTGCTATACCTTTTCGCCGGATAGGGATACGATGTTGTAGTAAGAGTGGTCTGGAAACCTCTGGAGTTCGATGTAATCCGTCTCCGTGAGAAGGAGTTCTTCAAGGAGTACCACCAGCTGGGTGAAGTCTGGACGCTGTTCTGCCTCTGGTTCCCAGCAGTAGAACATGATGTTGTAAACTTCTCTTCGGCAGTGTTCAGGCTTCTCCAATCGAGTACCTGCCAACAAAACACCGTATTAAGAGTAATCGAAAAAGACGTTTGGTCAAACATAAGCGTCGGAAATGGATGGAACAAAATCCATGGCTAATCCGACAAATCTATCAATATATATATATATATATATATATATATATATATATATATATATAAATTCAAACTTCACTATTTTATTGGGAATAAGGTCACTTAATTATTATTTAATAAACTAATTAATGTTCATTTCTTCTGTTTATTGACGTTTCGATCCCGGGTCTTCGGGCTCAGGACCGGGGAGGTCAGACGCTTAGCGACCCAGTAGCTTAATATATGTGCTAGTGGACGGTGCTGAGGCTGTCGGTGTGTCCCTGGCCTGATCGAAGCTCTATTTTTTTAAAGTAGGTTAAACATTTTGAAATCATTGTTATTAAAGTCATATGGAAGTAATATTGTGTATCGATTGAGCTATTTGTAGTTCTAGCTTTGAAGAGGATCCCATGGTTGACTAATAAAAAGAAAATACCGGGATCGAAACGTCAATAAACAGAAGAAATGAACATTAATTAGTTTATTAAATAATAATTAAGTGACCTTATTCCCAATAAAATAGTGAAGTTTGAATTTAATACTCAAAGGTCGATGAAGGAAAAGTTGTAAATATATATATATATAGTAGCTTAATATATGTGCTAGTGGACGGTGCTGAGACTGTCGGTGTGTCCCTGGCCTGATCGAAGCTCTATTTTTTAAAATTATAGCTTTGAAGAAGATCCCATCGTTGACTTATAAAAAGAAAATACCGGGATCAAAACGCCAATAAACATAGAAGAAATGAACATTCAATAGTTTATTAAATAATTAATAAGTGACCTTATTCACAATTAAATACTCATTAATACTCAAATTTAAATTTAATACTCAAAGGTCGATTAAGGAAAAGTTGTAAAGAGGAAGAGTTGTATATATATATATATATATATATATATATATATATATATATATATATATATATATATATATATATATACATACACCTTCATTCTATACGGAAGTTTCGGGGCAAAAAATTGAAAAAAAAAAACAACTAAAGTGTGTGTTACAGGCCACACGATAAAAGTGAAAACATCAACAATATGAGATTCATAGTATAAAATATAACATTTGAACATTTCCCACGCTTACAATGTGTAGGTGCGATGTTTAGTTTCTGAGATATTTTAATCGATATCTTCCATGAAACTTGTTATAATTTGGTTTTGATACTATTTGTTTCTTTTCACCTCTCTAACACGATGTTGAGTAAAGATACAATATTGAATAATAGCTCATTACAAAGAGGATGAATTGCTGAACAATCGCTTCTATTACAGTATAAGGGTTCCGACAGTATGTGAGTATTGCGATCGTGAAATTTTTTGAATCTGTTTTATCAACGAAAATACACGTTTCGAGGCAGCCTGAGAAGAAATAAACAAGTCCCGAAAAATGGTCCGTGTGTCTGTGAACACTAGCTTGAAAACAAAAAGTCGTATGAAGCTGATATTACCTATCTTTTCTTAAAATTGGCTAACCGGAAGTGCCACTTTATATCAACGCTGAAACACATTCTTACAATTTTCTCAAAAACGGCTTTAACGATTTTGATTAAGCTCGGTATATCATTGTATAATTAATTATTCTTTGATATCATTTAGGTCTTATCCCCGTTGATGTCACTTTACAGGGCTTAAATGTCCAATGTTCAGATGCGTCTTTCTCTAAAGTACCTTTAATATGGTTCGATGAAGGCAGTGGATCAGCTGATGAGAAGGTTGTCTCCTCAACTCCTCTCTCAGTTTTTACCAATTTTATAGCGGAATCTCTCTGATTATTCACGTGATACAGTTAAAGTGTATATCAGAGCAGTTGATATTTACTGTTGGCATCTTTTTTTTTTTTTTGTTATTTCAAGAAAAAAAAAAAAAAAAATTTTTTTTTTTTTTCTTTTTTTTATTTATTTATTTATTTTTCTCTTATGATATGCGGTATGATCAGCAAGTGATGGCCAGTAAGGTGCCCAAGAGGTCTCGGTCAGACGGAGTTAGCTCACCAGCCAAACAAAGGACTCGTCGCTGCCTACGAGAAATACCTCCAGTGACCAAAATGAACACTTCAGAACCAGAACCTCAGCCCCAACCAGGTACGTCTGCACAAGAAACGATTTAAGAATCACCTTTCTTTACTCCAAACCCCTACCAAGTGCTTCAAAATGACAAAGAAGTAATGGAGTCTGCAGCAATACCCAGAGAACCAAAGCCTCCTCCGATATTTGTGAAAAATATAAAAAATTTCCAGATGTTCTGCACCCAACTAAATAAAATCTGCTCTGGCAGTTATTCATGCCTTAACAGGACCAATGACACCAAGATAACACCTGATTCTGCAGAAGCCTACCGAAAAATAGTGAAGTACTTATCAGAAACAAATGCGAATTTTCACACTTACCAGCTGAGGCAGGAAAGAGCTTTACGAGTGGTGATAAGAAATTTACATTCCTCAACCCCCACTGAAGTTATTAAAGAAGAACTAACGACGCTTGGTTTCAATGTACGCCAGGTAACAAACGTTTTGAAGGAGGACAGGGAGCAGCCAGGATTACGAAATAGGATCCCACTACCATTGTTTTTCGTGGACTTGGAGCCATCACCAGGTATCGAAAAAATATATGATATCACAAGAATATACTATACAATGGTGAAAGTTGAGAAGCCATATCCCAAGAGAGACATCGTGCAGTGCCATAATTGTCAGACCTATGGCCACACGAAGACATATTGCCACCATCTGCCGCGTTGCGTGAAGTGCGGTGAACAGCACAAATCTGTAGAGTGCACCAAACCTATACAAGATCCAGCAGTATGTGCCCTATGCTTGGAGGGACACCCGGCCAACTACAAAGGCTGCCAAATTTACAAGAATCTCAAAACCAGACACCAGAAAAACCGGATTCAAGATGAAGCACTAAGAACAAGAAGAGAGAGAGAGCCTTCCAGAATTGTAAACAATGATGTATCATTCTCCCAACTACTTAGAGGTAAGACTTTAACCGATAAATGTCAAGCCCTGCCACAACAACAACCTCAAACCCAACCTCAAAATCCTCTTCATCCTAATATACCTAACCACCAACAACAAATTCCTCATATTCCTCCTCCTTCAAATGCAACAGATCTCACAAGTTTGTTAGCATCTTTCCTCACCGATTTCAAATCCCTTGTTACTCCACTCATATCACTCCTCACGAATCTCGTATCTCACCTCATCCCTCCTTTGAAAAATCCTTAAATGACTCACATCCCTAAACCCATATCCATTCTCCTTTGGAATGCGAATGGTGTTAGAAATCATACAGACGAACTATCTACTTTACTACTTGACAAGAACATTGATGTGGCACTAATTACTGAAACTCGACTAACCACTAAACAGCACTTCAATATACCACAATACCTGACATATCGTACTGACCACCCTGACGGAAAAGCACATGCCGGTACTGCTGTAATTGTACACCAATCCCTCTCCCATCACCTACTCCCATTACCAATACATGATTTCCTACAGTCCACCGCTATCGTGATAAAAACCTTCTCCTTTCCGGTCACTCTTGCATCAGCGTATTGCCCTCCTAACCGATCCATATCCAATGCCCAATTCAGTTCTCTCCTCGACTTCTTAGGACATCACTTCATCTTGGGTGCAGACCTAAATGCCAAGCACCAACAATGGGGTTCCAGAACCACGAATTCTCGTGGCCGAACCCTGCTGTCTGCACTCGATTCCCAACGTTTTCACCTCCTTTCCCCCAACTCTCCTACCTACTGGCCCACAGATCCCAACCGTAATCCTGATCTTCTTGATTTCTTTATCCACAGCGGCTTAAGTCCCCTCAATTGTTCCATTACACGTCTAAATGAACTTTCCTCTGACCATAGTCCTCTAATCCTTAATGTTTCACTTGAACCTGTTCCCAAACCTTCTCCACCGTCATTCATTAGGGGCCCAGTAAACTGGGACCTTTTCCGCCAAATAATCTCCGATAATATTGATCTCAACATATCCCTCAAAACTCCCGATGACCTTGATAGTGCCGTAAATTCCTTTACTACCACAATCCAACAAGCCGCCTGGACTGCCTCCTTCCCAAAAGACTCCTCCAGAATTCCTATAAAGACCATTCTACCCCAACACCTCCTTAACCTAATCCGCACCAAACGCCGTGCCAGATTATTATGGCAACGTACCCGACATCCTACCGACCGCTGCTCCTATAATTACTACTGCAAACAATTAAAACTGGATTTAGCCACCTTCAGATCACAATCCTTCAACTCCTACCTATCCTCCCTCTCTTCTCGCGACAATTCCCTTTGGAAAACCACAACAAAAATCCTGAATCCTCACCGCATTTCCCATCCTCTCCGACGAGGTGATGGCTCCTGGGCAGCATCTGACGAAGATAAAGCTGAGGAGTTCGCCATTCACCTATCCAATACATTTATTTCACATCCGGAATCCCATCCTGCCCACACCGTAACAGTAGAAGAACTCCTTACATCACCAATCCCACTTTCCTTGCCCCCAAAAGCTATTCATCCTTCCGAAGTAAAATTTCAATTAAAAAAACTAATCCTCCGTAAAGCTCCTGGACATGATCTCCTTACACCTCAAATCCTTCGACAACTTCCATCCAAAGCAGTCATATTCCTTACATATATCTACAATTGTATCCTTCGCACCACCCACTTCCCTCTGTTATGGAAACACTCCACTATTATCCTTTTCCCAAAACCAGGAAAACCTCTCAATAGCTCAACATCCTATAGACCAATCAGCCTACTCCCAATCCTTTCAAAAATTTTTGAAAAGATCCTTTTGAAACGAATCCTACCCATTATAGAATCCCAAAATATCCCTTCCCATCAGTTTGGTTTTCGCTCTCAACATTCTACTGTTCAACAAGGACTCCGAGTTGTTGATCATATTTCCTCAGCCCTAGAAAACAAGGAATACTGTTCGGGTGCCTTTCTGGACATTGCACAGGCATTTGACCAGGTATGGCACTCCGGACTGCTCTCCAAGCTTAAAATCCATTTACCTCAGTCCTTGTACCTAGTCCTCCGATCCTACCTCTCTGACCGCTCCTTTCGAGTTCGCTGTGGAACAGAATTTTCCAATATCTACTCCGTTAAAGCCGGTGTTCCCCAAGGCAGCGTCTTGGGTCCCGTGCTTTACATCCTCTTTACTGCTGACATCCCTGTTCATCCCGATACTTTTCTTGCAACATTCGCTGACGACACCGCAATCTTATCATCCAACTCTGATCCCGAAATAGCATCCTTAAATCTCCAAAGTCATCTCACCTTGATTGAGCACTGGTGTAATAACTGGCGCATTAAAGTTAATGAATCTAAATGCCAACACATTACTTTTACACTCCGACGCAATTCCTGTCCACCAGTACTCTTTAATTCCATCCAGCTTCCTTATTCAGACACAGTCCGGTATCTTGGCTTTCATTTAGACCGAAGACTAACTTGGAACCCGCATACTAGACTCAAAAGACAAGAACTCAACCGACGATACGGCCAACTATACCGACTACTAAGCAGAAAATCTAAACTTTCCATTGAAAACAAGCTACTGATCTACAAGACAATACTGAAACCTATTTGGACTTACGGACTAGAACTGTGGGGATCAGCAAAATTTTCTAACATCAAGCGCATCCAATCCTTCCAGTCTAAAGTCCTTCGAACAATAGTCGATGCTCCTTTCTATGTATCCAACAAAACCCTACATCATGACCTTAACATCCCATTTGTCCTAGACCTTATCCCAGAAAAGTTCTCCAAATTTCACCAGAACCTTACTTACCACCCAAATCCTCTTGCACAATCCCTATCAAGCATCTCCCATCCCTATAATCCTCCAAGAAGGTTGAAACGGCAGTGGCCTCGCGACCTTTTGTAAATTATATAAATTGGAGTTCTGGCAATGGCCAGATTCTTCACTCAAGACATGTGTGTATGTGGCTAAAGTGCTCTCGACCAATCTCCGCTGGCTTTAGTACCAGTGACGCGGTTGGAAGAGTAGCGCAGGGTTCTCCTGGAGTTCCCTCGCCTGATTGTATATAGGTATGCATGTTATTTTTTTTTTTTCCTTAGTTTTAATTTTCTTATTTTTTAGGTTATTTTATTTTATTGTCTATTGTATATACTTTTGATTATTATTTTGTTCTATTTATTTTATTTTTTTGTACATATGGTGTGAATGTCATCCTACCTCACTATAACCAATGTCGAACAGACAGATTGTTATAATACTCAATAAAGAAATTTAAAAAAAAAAAAAATATGGTTCATTTCAAGAATTACGATAAAATGCTAAATATAAATTTTGATGCTAATATTAGGCAGTACCGGTAAAAATCTGTGTGAAAATGTGAAGGACACTTTTAATGTTGTATGTCGTATAATGTGATATAATTCGTCGTGATTTGGTCGGATTTTTTCAGAGTTGTTATGGAGTATTGTTGTTATTCTAACGTGTTTATTAGAGCGACCGTCCAGTGAAAGCAACAACGGCCTAGAAACCTGCTGAAGTACAATAAACTGCAACAACTTACATCGAGCAATATATGTCTAAAAGGTATTCAACTCTCTGCTGTAACAATCATTTATTATGCTATATATAATATATTTCGTCGAATATATGTTATATAAGTACTTCTTTTTGGTTTTTATTATAAATATGAATATGCTCACCTTCTTTGACTTGGCGCATGACTTCCTGAGCTGATAAGCCAGGATACGGAGTTGACCCCAGCGTTACGATCTCCCACATGACTACTCCGAAGCTCCAAATGTCCGACTTGACCGAAAAGACATTATCATAGAGCGATTCAGGAGCCATCCATCTGAAAAAAAAATTAACGAACATAAAAAAACATTTACCTACATGGTGAGCGTAGCTTCCTCAAAATTTATGTAGGGTAAATAAGGAAAGATATATGCAAACAATAGAGGTGAAGGCTTAGTTCCAAGAGTTACCCTCGGTAATGAGAGAGCCGTCAGCCTGCAGGTGATAACTCAAGCCAATCGAGCGTAAGAAGGACGGCCCTATTCTTCATATCTTAATCACTAATCGATATTTCAGGATGCCAATTACCGCAAGGTAATTTCGTCTGTTTCAAAGAAATAAATATAGTGACACAGATGCATGCTGAATATGAAACAGAAACACCATAATCCATCTTTACCGATTGGTCATTGTTCAACCCAGGGATGATATTGACGAAACTCATTTAAATAGTTCTATTTTATCAGTTTCATTGAAAAATTTCTTATAGCTTGTTTTTAAGTATATTTTATTAAGATTTGGTATAATGTTTTTGGTAACCTATTCAAAATAAAGTTCTGGGTTTACAGCAAAAGAATACTTTTTATTTAAATAAACTCCAAAGAGATGCACAGAGAAAACTCGACAGCATCAGCACAAGGAAATAAAAGATGGATAAGGTTGGTGAAGATGGCAAAAGATCTACTGGGTCTGTAAAAACAACAGATGAATATATATATTTTTTACTTAACGTATAACAAATATCAAATATTTTTTTATATTTGTTTTGTTTTTTCTTTGTTTTTTCATAGCCTCTTTTTTGTTTATCTTTGTCTTGAATACTTGGATTTTCATTGTCTTCCTTTGATTTTTATTGTCCAAATAGTCCTTTTACAGCTAAAAAGCATTGTAAGATTTATTCTGTTTTTTTTTTTTTTTTTTTTTTTTGTCGTTTCTGAGTATTTTTTCTACATAATATAAATATAAATCTACATACTGTAATATAAATCTGTTATGGGGCTCACCTCAGGCTTGGGTTGACCTTATCCTCTAGATCTTACAACTTAATTAAAACAACTATTTTATGTGAATTTTTGCCAACGTTTTGGAATTTTGGCTGGTAATAAGTTGATGAAAAGAGGGAATATATATATATATATATATATATATATATATATATATATATATATATATATATATATATATATATATATATTTATATCCCCTTTTTATTTACATTTTTCACTTGGAACCTTTTCATTGTTTTCATAGTAATCCTCTTACTGCTCAAAAGCATTGTAAGGTGTATTTTTTGACGTTTATGAGTACTTTGTTCTTCATCTGTAATACAACAGGTGATGGGGCTCACCTCAGGCTTGAGTTGACCTTATACTCTAGAGCTTACACCTAAATTAATAAAACATATATCTCATGAGATTTGTTGCCAACGTTTTGGAATTTGGGCTGGTAATAATTTGTTGAAAAGAGGGTTTGCCAATTGTTGGGATTTTTCGAAAAATGATTTTTTTCGTTTTGCCAGAAATTCGTTTATAGTTGATAAATTTAGTGTTGCTTGAATATCCAATGTCTTCTTTCTCTGCAGCGTGGTTGCTCTTACAATTTTTCTAATTATTCCATTTTGGAAATATTGTAATCTTTTCCTAGTTGTTTTGCTAATGTGTTTGAACAGAGGTGCACCATACAACTTAATATAATAATACTTGTATAGACTAGAAGCTTTAGGCGTAAAGATAAGTTTGTTGTCCGAATTAAATTTTGGAGTCTGTACGTCTTAGATCTTACTGTTTTAATTTTTTTGTCAAAATGTCTAGTAAATTTTAAATGTCTGTCGAAGTGAATACCGAGATATGTTAAGTCAGTCGATAATTTAATACTGTTATTGTTAATTTTGAATTCGTTTGGCATTTTCTTTTTTCCTTTTTGGTATGAAAATATAATTCCTTTCGTCTTTTCAGTGTTAACATCTATGTTGAGGATTTTTAGCTGTTCTGCAATTTTTTCACAAGTTATTTCCGCCTGCTGCATAGCTTTTTTGGCATTCATACTGCTACTTGAGACAGCAATGTCATCAGCAAATGCTGTCACGGTAGCATTTTGGTGTTTAGTTCCCACTATTTCCGCAGTATATAATAGGAAAAGAACGGGAGATAAAACAGCTCCTTGGGGTACCCCACAAGTGAGATCGACAGTGTTTGATTTCTCATTGCCAACTTTTACTGATAAGGTACGACGGCTTAGAAATGATTTTAACACTGCGTATAATTGTTCAGGACAATCTGAATTTATTAGACGTTGACAGAGCTGATTATGGCAAACCGAATCAAATGCCTTCGAGCAGTCCATTGATATTAAAGCAGTGGCCTTATTTCGATTTAAGTTTTTTGTAATCTCCGTCTGTAGTTTTACCAGTGAATGTTCAGTGCACATTTGAGCTTGAAAACCACTTTGCTCTGGTGGGATCAAATCATTTTGTGTGCAAAACATTCTTAAGTAGTTCAAAATGATTTTTTCGAATATTTTGGCAATGTGAGGTAACAAACTTACCGGCCGGTAGTGAGCTGGGTTATTACCATTTTTCGCTGGTTTTAGCAGTGGAAATAAAACAGCATGTTTCCATGATTCCGGGAAGTAGCGAAGCCGTAGACAGGAGTTGTAAAGGTTCACCAGGTACATTATACGTATCCTTGGTAACTGTTTGAGTAATATACTCTGAGAGGGAATATGAACATTGTTAATATTCAAATATTGGCCGATCGAAACAATAGTATCGGGAGCTGACATAATATAGTACTAAAGCCAAGTTTGCGATAGTTGTAAATGATTAGCTTCATTAAACATATCACTTTAATCGGAATAGTAGAGCTATAACCAAGCCCACTTTCACATCTGACAAAGACTGGAACATATTAATCAATTTGTAAAGTGGTCTATCAAATACTAATAACTCAAAGCCTTTCCCGGAAATTCGTATTTAGTCCCGGTCTTCAATACAATGATTTTAATGAAGATAGCTCACTAACTTTATTCCAGGAAATGTGGAGGAACTAAAAATGATTCAGATATCGGAGAGTCCACGTGAAGTCATAATTAGAAATATACTAGTCTTAATAAATATAGAGTAAAATAGAAAATATTGTTTAAAATATGTTTAAAACATTTTACAATTTAAAATGTATTCCTCACTTTGTATTTAATTGTTTTTAATTTGTAATTATTCCAATGTTGTTCGACCCAAACGTGTAGAATAAAAAAAAAAATCAGAATATTGATAATTATAAAAGTATAAGAGAAGAAAGTAGTGGATGTACAAATGAGATAACGTATACACATTACATTATAATGTGCTAACAAAATGGTTTTGTATTTTAGTTAAATGAAAAAATAAATATACCCAAAGTAAATATAAATAAACCAAATAATTACAGTAGATATAACAATTCAATAAATAAGAAGTATGCAAAATCAACGCATATAAATAAAAATTAACAAACACGAAACAAAAAAACAAAAACGTACAGAATTAGAAATTAATAAATATGAATAGTTTCTTAACTAATACCAATAGAGTGAAGGCCGGATAAGAATTAAGCGTTTAAAAGTAAAGGTCATTTCAGGGCTAGTTAACAAAAATATTTTTTTTAAATGTAGAAACTATGCAATAAATACTTTCATAGAAGTTACATGGAACGTATCCTACAGTAAACGCAATATACCTACATATATATTATTCGTATATATAGCATTTCCAAGTCAATTTCAACCTTTTCCAAGTCAAATTCAACCTTTTCCAAATCAAATTAAACTTTTTCCAAGTCAAATTCAACCTTTTCCATTTCAAATTAAACCTTTTCCATTTCAAATTCAACCTTTTTTTATTTATTTAATTATCTTTAATTTTTCGATGCGTGGGTCTGTTATCGTATGAGTAGTTTTTTAAAATGACCTCCTTTTTAAGATTACGTGACTGCGTTTCAAATTATTTAAGTTTTTTTGACTTATTCGATATAAGGGTGTATTTTTATGTTTCCCGATCAGTAAATTTTTAAAATGACATCTATTGTATGTTTACGCCACTGTGTTTTGATTTATTTAAGTTTTTAGAATTTATCCAATATAAAGGTCTACTTTTTTGTTTACGGAGCCGTAGATTTTGAAAAAGACCTCCATTTTAAGATTAGGCCACCGCGTTTCGACTTATTTGAGTTTTTCGGATATTTTTCATATGAGGGTGTATTTTTATGTTTCCGGAGCTGTAGATTTTGAAAATGACCTCCATTTTAAGATTAGGCCACCGCGTTTCGACTTATTTGAGTTTTTCGGATATTTTTCATATGAGGGTGTATTTTTATGTTTCCGGAGCTGTAGATTTTGAAAATGAATTCCATTTTATGATTACGCCACTGCGTTTTGACTTATTTAAGTTTTTCGAATTTATCCAATATTAAGGTCTACTCTTATGTTTCTTGAGCCGTAGATTTTGAAAATGACATCCATTTAATGTTGACGCCATTGCATTTTGACTTATTTAAGTTTTTCGAATTTATCCAATTTAAAGGTCTACTTTTATGTTTTCGGAACCGTAGATTCTGAAAATGACCTCTATTTTATGATTACGCAACTGCGTTTCAACTTATTTAAATTTTTAGAATTTAACAAGTATAAAGGTCTAATTTTATGTTTCTGGAGCAGTAGATTTCCCCCATTTTGTAAATGACCCAATTTAAAGTTTATGCCACTGTTTTGGATTATAAAAGTTTTTTTTTTTTACTTTTTCGGTATAAGGATCTACTTATATGTTATCCGAGACGTATAGAATTTTTTCTAATCTTTAATATTTAAATTTATCTAATATTTAAGCTCCATTTTATGATTAAGCCGCTGCATCTTGATTAATTAGGCTTCATTTTGGATTTTTTCAATACAAAGTTTCATCAATATGTTTTCGAGTATGAATAAATAAATAAATATTATGAAGCTAAAGTAAAATTAACCACAGAATACAAACTAAAAAGCCGAAAAGCAACTGGTAATAAATTTAACCTTCCGTATTCAGATTTT